AATTCTGGGTTTCATGCTAGATTTTGACCCAGTAGGTGGGTCCAGGAATCAAATAGTTCTACAAATGATTCATGGCTAGCCATGACTGGGAACAGTTTACCTTAAATCATATAAATTGTAGCTCTCCCCCACCCCAACTCAGCCAACAAACTGAAGTTTTACACTGTACTAGTTATGATAGTGGCACTATCTCAGAAGAAAGTTTAGGTCTTACTGTTGCCCAGTAGCTTCTACATGACTTGCCCGTGACTCTCTACCTTCCTTGATCAGTCTGCTTCAGTTCATAGACAGCTCTCTGTTCCTCTAGTGGACCAAGCACAGCCTCAAGAGCACTGAATGTGTTCCCCACACTGGATCACTCTAACCCGGTGTCTACATGCCTTCCTCACTTACAGGTCTCTGCTCAAGGGTCAGTGTCATCTCCTTAGAGAGGTCTCCCCTAATTTCCCAATCTGATTGTACTCCTTGTTCCTCTCACCTTAATCCTGCTTTAATCCTTCTCATGGCACTTAGGTATTCTATATCTGTGCATATGTTGTCTCTTCCACTAAAAGTTTCAAGTTCAATGGGGCAAGAAGCTTAGTTTCATTGCTACATCCTTAGCACCTAGAAGTTTCTATGACATAGTGGGCATTTTTAAATTTGTTGAATGAATAAATGAATTTACCTTTCCTTGAAGAACAGCTGTGAAAGGAGCACATGCCAGCAGTGGTAGGTCATCAGAGGATCTAGCCTCCATCATTTTATTTCTGGCCACAGCAAAACTCACTAGCACTGGCAAAATCTGTTGCCCTGTGAAAGCCATGGGTTCCACCACACAAAATGCCGGTACTGACCCATTCCTGAGCATCAAGCGCCTTCCAGTAGGGATCTTCATTCAGCTGATTCTGTGCTCCGAAAAGACTGAGACCAGCCTCTATTCCACTGTCAGTGCTGCTCCACTACTACCCTCATTTGCTAGGATTCAGTCAGGCTGTAGTTTCTTAGTGAACTCTGGATGGTTAATGGGAAAGAGGCAAGCCATGAATGGGGGTTAGATTGTATCTCTTAGTTTTGTAATTATCAAGCTGTATTTATAATAAGACAAGCTGGGCCATATCCTTGTGTGTGTGTGTTTCTGACTGCCACTTACTGGCTACATGACTAAACATGATTTAGTAATACTAATGCATAACAAACTGTGATTTTCAATGTGATTTTCATGGTAGCTTATACCTGTAATCTCACACTTTGGGAAGCTGAGGCAGGAGAACTGCTTGAATCCAGGAGTTCAAGACCAGCCTTAGCAACATAGTGAGATCCTGTCTCTATAAAAAATTAAAAACAAAAATTAGCTGGACATGGTGGCATGCACCTGTACTCCAAGCTACTCAAGGGGCTGAGGCAGGAGGATCACTTGAGCCTGGGAGGTCAAGGCGGCAGTAAGCCATGATCAGACTGCTATACTCCAGCATGAGTGACCAAGTGAGACTGTACCAAAAAAAAAAAAAAAAATAGCAGTTTAAAACAACAGCTATCCTTCCTCACAAATCTACAGTTGGCTGACCTCTCATGTCTCATGTATGTTTGTGATCAGTTGGCAGGCGGGCTGATTAAGGATGACCTCATCTGAGATGCGTTGTCTCTGTTTTGCATGGTCTGTCATTGGCAACTTGTTACCCTTGGCTTGTTCTCATGTCAGTGGCAGGGTTCCAAATGAGAGAAGTAGTGCATTAGGGCTTTTGAGGCCTGGGCTTGGAACTGACCATCACTTTTTCTGTAAGCAAGTTACAAGGGCCAGCCCAGATTTAATGGTTGAGGAAATAGACTTTACTTCTTGATGAGAAAAATTACAAAGCCATATTGCAAAAGGCATCAAATATACAGATGAGTGGAGAACTGCAGTTTAATACAATGAACAAGGGAAAGAAGTTATTTAATCTTTGGGGGGTCTCAAAATTTCCTCAAGAAGTAAAAGAATAGAATCTACACTGTAGATTTATCAAATCAGATCATGCTTCTAAAACTCTTAGCACAATGTTTGGCACAATAGCTTTCAACACATGACAGAGAAAATGATTGTGATTAATATGATGCACAGACATAGTGTTAGTGGTAAAGATTGCAAACTGATGCCAGATGCTACTTTCTGACATGCAACTTATTAGCTACATAATCTTGGGTAATTTCCTCATCTGTAAAATGTGAATATTATTACCAAATTCATAGGATTTTTATAAGGATTAAATAAAGCACTTCAAACAGTACTCATAAGTGTTTAATAAAAACAATATATAACTTAAAAATTACAAATTTATATATTGTTAGCCTGTTTTGCATCACTATAAAGGAGTACCTGAGGCTGGGTAATTTATAAAGAAAAAAGGTTTTTTTTGTTTATGGTTCTGCAGGCTTTACTAGCATGGCACCAATATTTGCCTGGCTTCTGATGAAGGCCCCAGGAAGGTTACAATCACAATGGAAAGCAAAGGGGGAGCAGACTCTTTTAAGCCACCAGGTCTTGCACGAACTGAGTGAGAACTCACTCATCACCAGTGGCTCTAAGCCATTCATGAGGGATCTGCCCCCATGACCCAAACATTTCCCATCAGGCCCCACCTCCAACACTGGGGATTACATTTAAACATGAGATTTGAAGGAGACAAACACCCAAACAATGTCATTCTACCCCCAGCCCCCCAAAACTCATGTCTTTCTCACATTGCAAAATATAATCATTCCTTCCCAATAGTCCCTCAAAGTCTTAATTCATTCTAGCATCACTCAAAAGTCCAAAGTCTCATTTGAGACTTAAGGTAAACTCCTTCCACCTATGAGCCTGTGAAATAAAATATAAGTTATTTACTTCCAAGATACAGTTGGCGGTACAGGCACTGAGTAAAACATTCTTGTCCCAAAACGGAGAAATTGGCTAAAGAAAGGGGCAACAGGCTCGAGGCAAGTCTGAAATCCAGCGGGGAAGACATTAAACTTTAAAGCCCCAACATATTCCTTGATTCCATGTCCTGCATCCTGGCACACTGGTGCAAGGGGTGGGCCCTCAAGGCCTTGGGCAGCTCCACTCCTGTGGCTTTGCAGGGTACGCGGGTTCCCTCATAGTTGAAGTTGAGTGTCTGTGGCTTTTCCAAGCTCAGAGTGCAAGCTGCTGGTGGCTCTACCATTCTCAAGTCTGGAGGGTGGCAGCACCTTTCCCATAGCTCTACTAGGCAGTGCCCTGCTGTGGCCTTGTGTTGGGGCTCCAACCCCACATTTCAGTATGTAGACTATAAGCCCCCCACTGTACATGCTCTGTTTTATTCCCACATACCCCTCAAATGTGGGCAGAACCTGTAAATATCATGGGAAATCATCATGGGAAAAACATCAGGGGAGAGTATCTGTATTTGTTTTCTATTACTGCATAATAGATTACCACAAACTTAAAGGCTTAATGTGATCCATTAATTAATTAATTAATTAATTAATTTATGAATGACAGACTCTTGCTCTGTCACCCAGGCTGGAGTGCAGTGGGCACAATCTCAGCAACCTCCGCCTCCCCAGTTCCAGCAATTCTCCTGCCTCAGCCTCCCAAGTAGCTGGGACTACAGGCGTTCACCACCACGGTCAGCTAATTTTTGTATTTTCAGTAGAGACAGGGTTTCACCATGTTGGCCAAAATGGTCTTGAACTCTTGACCTCAGGGGATATGCCCACCTCAGCCTCCCAAAATGCTGGGATTTACAGGTATGAGCCACCACAACTGGCCAATGTGACCCATTATCTCACAGTTCTATATATTAGAAGTCCAGCACAGCACAGACAGGTTCTCATACTGAGGATCACGCAAAGCTGAAATCTAGGTGTCAGCCAGGTTGTGGTATCATCTGAAGCTTGGAGTACTCTTCTTAGCTCACTCAGATTGTTGGTGGAATTCAATTCCTTGTGGTTGCAACTGAGGTTCCAATTTTTTTCCTGCTTGCCCACAACTGGAAGGTACGTCTCATCTTCTAGAGGCCACCTTTAGTTTTAGCCAATGTGGCCCTCTCACAACATGGTACATACTTCTTCAAGGCTTACAAGGAGAATCCTTCTTGCAAGGGTTCTGATTAGGTCAGGCCCTTTCAACAGTCTCAGAGTGAGTTGTTTAGGAACCTTAGCTGCATCTGCAAAATTCTTTCAACTTTGTCATGTAACATAATCTAATAATGGACATATCATTATGGCAGCATCATCAAGGGATATTTTATTTGTGGTTAAATGATTGCTGTGAACACAATCTATAAATATATGACTAATAGGATTTTGTAACTGGCTCTATAAACTTTAAATTTTGTATTATTTTTATAATTCATAAAGTGCTTGTATATATTCTGCATCATTTGATTTTCATGATTACCTGTCAGAGAAGCACAGCAGATATTAGCCCAATGTTATTAGTGGCTCACAGCAGCTAAGTGTATGTCCAAAGCTTTACAGCAAATTAGTAGTGGAGTCAGTTGGGCTTCAGATCAGAGTGTTTCCACCCTACATACAGCCCAGGCTCTTTTTGCTAACTCTGTAATTTTCAAACTGTGTTTGATGCTTGGAGATATCTCAGGGATTACTGTAAGAACTGGGTGTGATACTAATGGGTAGGGCTAAGTGTTGATATGGTGGCTCTATTTTTATACGTTGGAAGTTCAACCCATGCTTTAATAACCACTGCCCTGCAACAGCCTGCGCCTTGTTAAAGGTAAAGAAGAATATTTGGGGAAAAAAATTAGTTAAAAAAATGGTTGAGGCCAGGTGTGGTGGCTCACGCCTGTAATCCCAGCACTTTGGGAGGCCGAGGCGGGGGGATCATGAGGTCAGGAGATCGAGACCATCCTGGCACGGTGAAACCCCGTCTCTACTAAAAAAAAAAAAAAAGAAAATAGCCGGGTGTGGTGGTGGACGCCTGTAGTTCCAGCTACTTGGAAGGCTGAGGCAGGAGAATGGCGTGAACCCGGGAGGTGGAGCTTGCAGTGAGCCGAGATCACGCCACTGCACTCCAGCCTGGGCAACAGAGCGAGATTCCATCTCAAATTAAAAAAAAAAAAATGGTTGAGATAGGTGTATATAAAAAGTCAAGAGTCTATTCCAATAGTTTTAAGAATCTGTCATCTCTTGCAGCAGCTGTTGAACCTTATAAAAAGACATAGAAAAAAACAAAAGAACCACATTATACACTTGCTTTAAAATATACACTCTGGAAAATATGATGAACCCTACCCCTTTTACTTTTTAAATAAATATACGAAATTCATACCTTCTTAATGTCTGGTCTCTTATTTTTCTTTTCATGCAGACATTGACTAGCAACAGAGTACATAGCTTCAACTGAAGTGGAATCAGCATCATTCATCTTTTTATCAATATAATCTTCAATCGTCTTTTCTTCATCTTCAATTTCTTCTTTAATATCTAGCTTTAAAATGAGTGTTAAAACTTTAAGAGCTTCAAATCAAAGTGAAGGAAATTAGAATGTATATTTTAATTATTTAAATTAATCTACTTTGTAATAACATGTACTCTCATTTTACTATCTTATCTTAAAACCCTACTAAGAATTCAAGACCCAGCCTAGGCAACATGGTGAAACCCTGTTTCTACTAAAAATACAAAAAATTAGCCAGGCGTGGTGGTGTGCACCTGTAATCTTAGCTACTCGGGAGGCTGACACAGGGGAATCGTCTGAACCCAGGAGGCAGAGATTGCAGTGAGCCGAAATTGCGCCACTGCACTACTCCAGCCTGGGTGACAGAACGAGACTCTGTCTCCAAAAACAAAACAAAACAAACAAACAAAAAAAAACAAGACATACAGGACAAATTCTATGTAAATAAGTACATCCATCCACCACAAAATGACATTTTGGTCAACTGGTCAATGACAGACCACATATAGATGGTGGTCCCTTAAGATTATAATACCATATTTTTACTGTACCTCTTTTATGTTTACATACATAAATACTTACCATTGTGTTACAATTGCTTACAGTATCCAGGACAGTATTATGCTGTACAGCATATGTTTGTAGCCTAGGAGCAATACCATACAGCTCAGGTGTGTAGTAGGTCACATCATCTAGGTTTGTGTAAGTACACTCTATGAGGTTCACACAATGAAACTGCCTAACAACGCATTTCTCGGAACATATTCCTGTCATTTGGCAACACATGACTGGGGGTGTGTGTGTGTGTGTGTGTGTATAATATAAATGTATATTTATTTATACCTTCTAGATACTTCCACCCATCTGCCTTCCAATTTTTATATTTATGTTATGAGCTAATTGCTTATATGTTTCCATTAGCAGCATTTACTAGGTGGGCAGCACAGCGTGGTCTGCTTCTTGATGTGCTTCTAATAGCGCAACTCCAACTTTTGGACCCTGACTCCTCCTCCCTGTACCCAATAAACTTCTCTATGGGTACTAAGATTGTTGAATCAAAGAGAAAAAGGGAGGGGAAACATGGGGAGCAGGCCATTAAAAAAAAAAAAAAAGAATTAACAGGGAGAGAAGTGTAGGAATAAGAGAGTAAGTTGGGTGAATCATAGTCTCCCAAAACATGTCTATGCCATAATTTCTGGAATCTGTAAATGTCCTCTTATTAGGAAAAGAAGGGCCTTTTTAGATGTAATTAAGTATCCTGAGATGAGAATATTCCAGATTATGGATAATCCTGGAGGTAAGCCCCACATCCAACGAGCAAGGCAAGATTCTCTCTGGAGCCTCCAGAGAGAGCGTAGTCTTGCCAATACCTTGATTTCAGACTCTGGCCTCCAGAACCATGAGCAAATAAATTTCTGTTGCTTTAAGTCACACAGTTTTTGGTACATTTTTACAACAGTCCTAGGAAACTAATACAGATGAAAAAAACTATTCATGAGAGGTAAACTCTTCAAAAACACTTTCAAAAGATAAATTCTGAAAATGTTTGGCAATGGCAGAATCTAGTAACATAAGGGTTCCTCAAAGGATCATTTTTTTTTTTAACTGTGCTTGTACAAAAATCTTATTACTTTAGAGTCACATCACAGTCAAACCTTAAGAATGGGTGGAAGAGTGTAATTCTCCAAAGATTTATGATTTTCACTATTATATGATGAAATGCAAAACTTGTGACTGAGATAGAGCTTATGTTTTTCTGCATTTCATCCTTACTCAAGCCAAAGTTTTGAGGCTTTTATATATTTTGAAAGAAAAAGCCTTAGGCAAAATGATGGAAAACTTAGGTAAAGTATATGCTGCATGCAAGTTAGTGAATCAATCCGGGTTCAATCTTGAGCCCTCCATACCCACAGAGGAGGTCATAGGAACTCCAACTTGAAGGCAGTTGGTCAGAAGTTCTGGAGGCCTAAACTTGGGACTGGTGTTTGGTGGGATCGCAGTCTCGGGGACTGAGTCCTTAACCTGTGGGATCTGATTCTGATGCTATCTCTAGGAACATAGTGTCAGAGGAGATCCAGCTGACTTTCGCTGCAAAGTAGACTGCCTGCTTGTTGGTGGAGAGAAATCCTCCCCACTCACATTTGGTCACAGAAATCTTCTGTGTTGATTGTTGCTGTGGTGTGAGAGCAAAGGAAATACATGATTTGAGTTTTTCCTAACAATAGCAAATTTGGTATGTTTTTTATTGTAACTTTGTAAATAAAATACCCCATGATAGAAATAAGTAGAGAACTTTTACTAGCAATTTTATTCTGAGAGAAATTTGAATGGAAGCCATTTTTTTCCTTTCTGAAAATGTTGAAAACACTGTTATTAAGAGTAGCCACCCTGAAAGTAACAAAATAAACATAAGCTAAAGAGGACCTCAGAAATCATTTAGTTCTATTTTCATTTTACCCACAAAGAAATCAGAACAAAGAATACGTAAGTGACTTTTCTAGGCTTCACAAATACTTCATGGGAGAGCTGAGAATGAAAAGTATTTAATGCTTTTTCCATATGCTATTGTGTAATAGCCAATGGAAAGACTGCCAACAGAAAATGTTATTTCTAGATGTCAAATTATCCATATAAATTTAGACTACAAAAGCAGAGAAAAAAGGATTGAGGAAAATGAATATTTCAATTACCAATAACTGAGGTTCACGGTGTTCATCCACGGCTGGAAGTCCAGTTATTATTTCTAGTAAAACCTATTAAGACAAAAAAATTTCATTAATATAATACACAAGACAGGCTGGGCATGGTGGCTAACGCCTGTAATCCCAGCACTCTGGGAGACAGATGTGGGAGGATAACTTGAGCCCAGGACTTCAAGACCAGCCTGGGCAACAGGGAGACCCTGTCTCTACAAAAAATTTTAAAAAACATTGGCCGGGTGTGGTAGCACATATCTGTAGTCCCAGCTACTTGGGAGGCTGAAGTGAGAGGATCACTAGAGCCTAGGAGGTTGAGGCTGCAGTGAGCCGTAATTCCACCACTGCACTCAGCCTGGGTGACCAAGTGAGGCCTTGTCTCTAAAATATACATATATTATACATGATACTAATAAATTATATATATAATACTCAAGACAAAAATAAATATAAACTAGAAGGAATATGAATCTTGGTTACAAAATTTGATTAATCATTCTATACAAGGCTATGTCTTTTAGATATTAAAGTGGAAAGAACACGAGCTTTGGGCATTTCTCGCCATCCCTCCTTCAGGGATATCTCGGACCCCATCATGACCATAAGCAGCTCTTTTCTATTGGCAATTCTACTAAAGAGTCAGCCCCACTCAACGTATGTTCTGGGAACTCCCAATCCTTTTCCTGCCTCTTAGGGATTCTTCACAAGAATAATTTTCTCTGGCTCTTAGGAGAATATTATTTTCTAAACATTAGGCATATTCTACAGTCCTATGCCTTGTTTTCACAGTGCTATGAAGTTACATTTCCATATATGGAACACATATGAAAAAACAAATTGAAGAAAAAGCCCCTGGCTTCTCCAACCACCCACACCTATCTCTTACTCTATCTTAAAATTTATTGGGAATAGACAGGTAGATTAGTAAATGTCGAAAAATGTGAGACTAAAGTATCTACTGTATGACACGATTCATTTAATGCATTGGGTGTCATGCTAATTCATAAACACAGATGGGAAGAAAATCATTTCTTGTAGTCATTTCAAAAATCAATTCAAAAGTTTTACACATTGGAAGAAGTTTTTACAAACTTTCTGGTATAAGTAGAGGTTAATGTGAAAAACTTGTGTTGTTACCTAAGAGAGCTAAACAAGATGGGTGTATTAAATAATATTCTACTTCATTTCCACAATTATAGCAGAATGACTATTTTTACTAATTATGTATACGGAACTTACCACACCAAAGCTGTAAATGTCAGATTTGGGTGTTATTTCTCCTCGCAAAGCTTCAGGTGCCATATAAGCTGTTGTTCCCACAATTCTGCTAGTCATGACTGTCTGGGCAAACTTCTCAGAAGCCCGTGCAAGGCCAAAGTCAGATATTTTAGCAGTAAAAGCTTCATCTAGTAAGATATTTGCACTGAAAAAAATGTAAAATTTGAAGAAAAAAAATGTTTTCCCCACCCCAAAAAAGTCAAACAGTTCCTTAGCTAAATGTATGTATGCATGTATATATGTATATGCATACATGTCTATGTACATATATATTTACAGAGTATAACATTTTATAGTATGCATCATAAAAGCCTAAAATTTCTATTAATAAACCTAGAACTCAGATTATAGCTAAAGAGAAGCAACTGTCCTCTTTTTTTATGTTTCTTGAGGAAAAAATTTAGGAGAATAAAAATGAAATAAAACTGTCTACATTAGTAAGAGATATTTTCATTATTCCACAAATAATTTATTATAGGGTAAATTACTACAAAGTCTTCCAAGGCACCTTTAATAATTCCTTTCTTAATATGTATCAATTCATTTAAAAACAAATTTCCAACCAAAGTATCTCAATTATGCATTTCTTTATTCTTTTGTTCTGTACTATCTGGCTTTTGAAGAGAAAAAAATATGGCCAAAATATCTCAATTAATTCATTATATGCTTTCATACTTTCATTCAACACAATCTTATTGAGAACTCCCTATGTCGTATAGTATTTAAGCTCACTGCTGGGCATGGGGGAGTCTTAAAATCTTGTCTGTGACAAAGGCATAAATAATTTTTTAAAACAATGGTAATATTAGGTACAAAATGCTGAGAGAACAACCATGTGCCTGGAAAAAGCAGGAAAAATTTCAAACAGAGGGTGACAAGTGTGCTTAGTATCGAAGGATTATTAGAAGTTGATAGTTACATGAGGGAAAGAAAGGCACTCCAGGCAAATGGAGTAACAGCTATAGAGTGACGAAAATATGATATGGTGTACATGGTCAACTTCAAGGAATGAGTGTCCTAGAAACATGGAGATTATTTGAATTTTATCCTGTGAGCAACAGGCTACCAGCTAAAGTTTTCACAGTAGGAAACTGATGTTATTAGACTTAACTTTTAGGACCATGACCTGGTAGCACTGTAGTGAATAGATGAGGACTGATAGGCTGGATTTAGGTTGACTACAAAGGTTTGTAACAAAGCAAATGAGAGATAATGAGGGTCTAAATGGTCATAACATGGGATAAATGGAAAGTGAAAATTTTGAGGCTCACTCAACAGAATTTTGTAATTAGCATGATACAGAGAATGAGAACGTCTTCAGCTTGAGAGAGAGAATGAATAGTGACTTCACTGGATCAGAAAGGAAATGTGGAAAGACTTTAGGTTGGAGAGACCTGATGAGTTTGATTTCTCATGTGCTGACTTAAAGGTTACTGTGGGATACCCAGATGCAGTGTTTTTGGTACGGGGATACTAAAAATCCAGGACTGGAAGCTTATAATACAGATTCGAAAAACACTCACATATAAGTAGCAGTTAAAATCAACATAATATCACTCAGCAAAAACACACAGAGAGAAGCCGGGAGGGTGGCTCACGCCTGTAATTCCAGCACTTTGGGAGGCCAAGGTGGGCAGATCACCTGAGGTCAGGAGTTCAAGACCAACCTTATCAACATGGAGAAATCCCATCTCTACTAAAAATACAAAATTAGCAGAGCGTGGTGGTGCATGCCTGTAATCCAAGCTATTCAGGACGCTGAGGCTCGAGAATCTCTTGAACCCAGGAGGCGAAGGCTGCAGTGAGCCAAGATCGCGCCACTGCACTCCAGCCTGGGTAACAAGAGTGAAACTCCGTCTCAAAAAAAAAAAAAAAGAACATATAGGGAGAAAAGAGACAATGATAAGAACATGGGAAAGTACCAACAATACATGAAGGATAGGAGATGGTGTTTCTTTTCTCATCTAGGGTCAGTTCCTCTGCTCGAGCTGCTTACATTCTCAGGAACCCTACTGAACACATAATCCCATTTCTCTCTTCCACGGTATCCTCTCCCTCTTAATCTGGATCCTTCCTATAGGCAGACAAGCACAGTTTAGTCTCTGCTCTCTTAAAAAAAAAAAAAAAAGTTTCCTGAATGACATATCTATTTCTAGCTGTCCCCTTAGTAACATGTCTTAAAAGACTTGTCTGTACTCCTATCTCAGTTCTCTAGCTCTCACTCTCTCAACTACAATGTGATTTCTAAACCAATTACTACATGGAAATGGGTTTCCATAAAGTCACCAAAGACAATGGTGATGCTAATCCAATGATTAAAGCACTTGACTCTTTTTGACTACTCCCTCTTGGGAAACACTTTCTTTCCTCATTTTCAGGGACTCCACACTCTGCAGGTTTTCACCTTACCTTTCTCTGTATGTGTACTTCCTTAGATTCCTTTTTGTGATCATCCCTTCTATTTGGCCATTAAGTCTTAGGGTTCCTCAAGACTTAATCTTGTGACCTTTTCTTTTTTTTTTTTTTATGAGACGGAGTCTCGCTCTGTAGCCCAGGCTGGAGTGCAGTGGCCGGATCTCAGCTCACTGCAAGCTCCGCCTCCCGGATTTACTCCATTCTCCTGCCTCAGCCTCCCGAGTAGCTGGGACTACAGGCGCCCGCCACCTTGCCCGGCTAGTTTTTTATGTATTTTTAGTAGAGACGGGGTTTCACTGTGTTCGCCAGGATGGTCTCGATCTCCTGACCTTTTCTTAATCTACATCTCCCCTCAAGTGAATACAGTCACTTCAATTATCACCTGTATGCAAGTAATACACACATTTATATCTTCAGCTCAGACCATCAGCTCCAAATCTGTATATCACACTAACATCTCTACTTCTATATCTTAAAAGAACCTCAATGACAACACGTACAAAGGAGAATTCACATTTTCTAACCATCTCTCTAACCCCAACCTAACCAGGTCTTTTTTTGGTCCTTTCTATATAAGTGAATCATGCCATAATCATTCCAGAATGCAAGTCTGGATGCCATTATTCCAGGAGTCATTCGTGATACTTCCCTCTTCCTGAACCCCTGCATAGCCAAGGTATCAACAAGCTTTGCCATTTTAATCTTTCTAATCTGCTCACCTCTCTTCATATGAACTGCCACCTATGATAGCCTACTAACTGTTTCTTCTTATAAACTGTTCTCTACATTAGAGTCAAAATCATCTTTGCAAAACTTAAAGATGATGCCACATTCCTACTTAAAAATTTCAATGGCATCTCATTATACTTGAGATAAAACTAAAAGCCTTACCTTGGCCCATTAGGTCCTATAGGACTTAGCTTCCTACACTTCTCTGTAGTTTTATCTTCAATCCACCACCCCATAACTTTCTGCATCTCAGTCATACTGCATTTATTTATTGTTTTTTTTCAGACAGAGTCTTGCTTTATTACCCAGGTTGGAGAGCAGTGGCATGATCATAGCTCACTTCAGCCTTGAACTCCTGGGCTCAAGCATCCTCCCTCCTCAGCCACCCCAGCATCTGGAAGTGTAGGCATGCATTACCAGGTTTGACTAATTTTTTTGTAAAGATGAGGTCTTGCTATGTTGTCCAGGGAATGTAATCAGGTCTGCAACTCCTGGCCTCAAATGATCCTACTGTCTTGGCTCCCAAAGCATATTTCATTTCTTGTAACTCATCATGCTCCCATATTTTCTCTCACCACTGGTCTTACAAATGCAGTTCCTTCTGCCTAGAATGTTCTTTTCCCCATCATCTATTCTACAGTTACCCTCAAATTGTGCCTACTTATTTCCTGCCCATTCTTTGAATCTCTGCTTAAATATCACTTTCTTGGAAAATGTTCTTTATATTAATCCTATATACTATACTATATTATATATAATATATATGTGTGTACTGTTATTTTGTGATTTGATTGATGTTGAGCACTATATATTAATATGTTACTTATAGTAGGTAAATATTTAACTAGATAAATAAACAAGAAAGAAAGAGAACTGAAAAGTACTCATGAAGGATGAAGGTGATTCAGAAAAGAATGGTGATCCATAAACTAAGAAAACAACTAATTTCCATAAGGCAAAAGGGTCAAGAAGAACAGAATAAACTACTATTAAAACAAATAAAAAAGGTCAAGTAGGATGAGTACTGAAAGTAGGTCACTGGGCTTGGAATAAAGGAGATTACAGATGTCCTTATTGAGAAGAGCTTTCATGGAGTGATGGGAAAAAGTCCAGGTGCTCTAGGTTAAGATATGCATGTGAATAGTGAATAGAGTGACAGCAAACTATTCTTTAAAGACAGCTTTCCAAAAGCTTTTAAACAGTAGCATTTACCTTTTAATATCTCTATGAATATGATGATTTTCATGTAGAAAATTGATGCCATTAGCTGCACCCTGAGCAATCTTGCATCTCATGTGCCAAGAAAGTGGTGGAGTACCATCCTTGTAAAGAAATAAACCAAATTAAAAACTAGAAAGAATAATAAAAAATCTACAGAGACTATATAACACAGAGTATTTTTCTAGGCAACAACTGAAGATGATGCTATATCACTAATAATTTAGGACTACATTTTTAAGTTATTAAAAATAATCTCCAAATAAGCTCAAATGGGTGATTACATTTCTTATTTGAAGATAAAAATATATAAAAGCATCTTCCTAGTATAGTCTTGACTGAATTTTATATTTAGGATTACCACCTAACAAAATGGCAACCCAGTTGCTGACATATCAACTGTATAATTTTCATAGAGCAGGAAAAATATGAAAGCGAATTTGGTTTAAATAATCCAGTAACAAAATGAGTATTAATACTCCAGCATATAAACAAAAAGCCAAACAATCTGATGAACAAATAGCTTACCAAGCAAGAGAGTCTGTCTAGTAATGAACCATTAGGCATGTAAACATATACTAAGCAGAGGTCATCTCCATCACTTGAGAAACCAAGTAGTTCTACTAAGTTTTCATGTTGACACCTGTGACAAACAATTTTTCATGCAAAATTATTATAATATATACTTATATAGTCAGTTGTAGGTTGGAAGTTATTCAAAGTTTTAATAGAAAAAAAGAGAAAAAATAGTATGTTATATATAATTTCTAACATGATGTTTATGTTTATATATGTTTATTGTAACTATTTATAATTTTCTGCAAATAGTTCTCTTTTCAGCCAATATTAATCAACATTAGAAGTAAAATCTGGGTCCCGGAGCAGGATGGCTGAATAGGAACAGCTCCAGTCTCCAGCTCCCAGCATGGGTGACACAGAAGACAGGTGATTTCTGCATTTTCAACTGAGGTATCGGGTTCATCTCACTGGGGAGTGCCAGACAATAGGTGCTGGTCAGCTGGTGCAGCCCGACCAGTGAGAGCTGAAGCAGGGCGAGGCATCACTTCATCTGGGAAGCGCAAGGGGGAAGGGAATCCCTTTTCCTAGCCAGGGGAACTGAGACACACAACACTTGGAAAATCACTCTGGCAGGATATCATCCAGGGAGAACTTCCCCAACCTTTAGTAAGGCAGGCCAACATTCAAATTTCAGGAAATATAGGAAGGAACACCACAAAGCATACTCCTCGAGGAAGAGCAACTCCAAGACACATAGATTGCCCAGATTTCACCAAAGTTGAAATGAGGGAAAAAATCTTGTAAGGCAGCCCAGAGCAGGAAAGGTCGGGTTACCCACAAAGGGAAGCTCCAATTCAGACTAAACAGCAGATCTTCTTGGCAGAAACTCTCCAAGCCAGAAGAGGGAGTGGGGGGCCAATATTCAACATTCTTAAAGAAAAGAATTTTCAACCCAGAATTTCATTATCCAGCCCAAACTAAGTTTCATTAAGTGAGAAGGGGGAGAATAAATTCCTTTACAGACAAGCAAATACTTTAGAGATTTTGCTCACCCACCAGGGCCTGCCCTACAAAGACCCTGAAGGAAGCACTCTGAACATGGAAAGGAACAACCGGTACCAGCCATTGCCAAAAAACATGCCGAAAAGCTAAGAGCCATCGAGGGGGCTAGGGGGAGAACTGCATCAACTAACGCAGGCAAATTAACCAGACTAATATCACAAGGACAGCGATCAAGCTTCACACATAACAATATTAACCTTAAATGTAAATGGGACTAGAATCGTCCATTAAAAGACATAGGACTGGGCAAATTGGGATAAAGGGAGTCCAGACACCTATCAGTTTGGCTGTATTCAGGAGAACCCATCTCACATGGCAGAGACACACCATAGGGGCTCAACAATAAAGGCGATGCAGGACCGAGCTACCAAGCAAATGGGGAGAAACAACAAAAAAACCAGCGGGTTGGAATCCTAGTCTCTGATAAAGACAAGACTTTAAACCAATCAAAGATCAAAAGGAGACAAAGAAGGCCATTACATAATGGCTAAAGGGGTCAATTCAACAGGGGGAAGAGCTACTATCCCTAAGTATATATATGCACCCAATCAGGAGGCACCCAGATTCATAAAGCAAGTCCTTTTAGGAGACTTACAAAGCGAGACTTAGACTCCCATACAATAATAAATGGGTGGGACTTCAAGCACCACTACTGGGTCACATTACACAGATCAAACGAGACAGAAAGGTTAAAAAGATATCCAGATTGAGACTCAAACTCCCCTGCCCCAAGCGACCTACATAAGACATCTAACAGAAAACTCTTCACCCCAAATCAACCAGAAGATACATTCCTCCAAAGGCACATCGTACTTATTTGCAAAATTGACCACCATTATGGAAGTATAAGCACTCCTCAGAAATGTGTACAAGGCAAAAATTATAACAAACTGTCTCTCAGACCACAGTGCAATCAAACTTAGAACTCAGGACTAAGGAAACTCAATCAAACACTCACTACATGGAAACTGAACAACCTGTTTCCGGAATGACTACTCGGGTACATAACGAAATGAAGGCCAGAAATAAAGATGTTCTTTGAAACCAAATGAGAACAAAGATGTACAACATACCAGAATCGTCTCGGACACATTTAAACAGGGAGTTGGAAGGGAAATTTATAGCACTAAATGCCACAAGGGAAAGCTGGAAAGACTTAAAATTGACACCCTAACATCACAATTAAAAGAAACAGAGAAGCAAAGAGCAAACACATTCAAAAGCTAGCAGAAGCAAGAAATATAACTAAGATCAGCAGCAGAACTGAAGGAGAAGAGACACAAAAACCCTCCAAAAAATCAATGAATCCAGAGTATGGTTTTTTGAAAAGATAAACAAAATTGATAGACCGCTAGCAAGACTAATAAAGAACGAAAGAGAGAAGAATCAAATAGACGCAATAAAAAATGATAAAGGCGGGGATATCCCACCAACCCACAGAATCACAAAACTACCATCAGAGAATACTTAGAAACACCTCTACGCCAAATAACTAGAAAATCTAGAAGAAATGGACACAGGAAGGGGAACACACACCACTGGGGCCTATTATGGGGAGGCGGGAGGGGGAGGTATGCATTGGGAGTTATAACTGATGTAAATGACGAGTTGATGGGTGCTGACGAGTTGATGGGTACAGCACACCAACATGGCACAAGTATACATATGTAACAAACCTGCACATGTACCCTAGAACTTAAATATAAAATAAAAAAAAAAAAAAAAAAGAAAAGTAACATATCACGTGCCTTCACTTAAATTCTAAAATAGATCTAGTATGATATTATGCCTGTAATAATTTATGCGTTAAATGTTTTAACCCAACTTGAAGGCTAAAATGAAGAACTACTTAATTCTCTAAAGGTTAATAAAAAGTAAAGGACAACAT